TGTCGTTACGTCGTGAAGTTGCAGTCGTCAAAGTGTTCCGAGCTTAATATTGCAACATATGTATGTATCACTGAGAATCATTACTTACTAGACGCTACGTTTGCTGAGGTTCCACGATGTGGATACAAGCAATTGTGTACCCTTACTAAGTAGAATTCTCCTTTCTGTGTTGCCGTAAAAGTAATTTTGCGAAAAACTTCTAACTGGTAGGCGGCCTTCGGCGATTTTTTTTTCAAATTTTCACCATAGATTAAAATATAGTTTTTATAAAAAAAGCCGCTGGCGAAATAGATTAAAACGTAGTGCAGCAGGCGAAAATATGGAATAACAAATGGCGCGATTTTTGTAGCAAATTTTCACAATATACATATTAAAATATTGTTTTATATTAAAAAAGGGCGAAATTTAATATCCCAATTTTCGGACTTTTAAGCTTAGTTTCCAGCTGAAGAAAAATTACAATTTTAACTATTTCTTTCGATTGCAAAAAATAATTTGCCATTGCTTTAAAATTTCCTGAAGAAATATTTACATATATATTTCGAGAGAGCCTTAAACGAACCAAAAAGTTTTAATACAAAATTTATTTTTCATTTCTTGAGCGTGGTTTTATATGCTTTTTTTGTTTTTTTTGAGAGCTGGAAAATATGCTTTAGGCTGAAAAAGATATTATCCCAATTTGGGTTATGACACCTTATAAGAAGTGACATAACCCCAAGTAAAAAAAATTGGCCTTCTGTCACCGTATAAGGAGTGACATATTTAGTTCCAAATTTTAAAATTGCAGTTATGCCACTTGGGATTATGTCATGGTACGGTATGAAAATTATTCGAAGTACATACATAACTAAGTACTTCGCTCTGTACCTTTTTTCATTATAAACTCACAATGACCTTTTACTTTAAAGAATATTTCATTTAATATTGATATTTCAGTATAAAGGTCATCCATTTTAATACAAATTTTTTCGTGGAAATTACTGAAATATATTTATAATTAAAGAAATTTAGTATTTTTACGTACTATATTTTTTCCAACAGTATATAGTACGCCGACCGGAAAAATAGGACAATACTATATATTATAGTATGGTTGGCAACCTTACTTCTTCACCTTTTTCCATTGTATCCTGTTTGGTATTCTTATCTTTTCCCCTTAATTTATGTTAAATTTGTTACTCTATAATTGTTATAAGTCATTATATTAATATACATATCTCAATAAAAATTTTATATTTACTCACATTTTCGCTTCTATCAAAACCGCTAATTTAAAATTTGTGTGTATGCATCAAAACCGCAAACTTGAAATAAAGTGAATGAAATCTGAAGATTATTTCGCAAATTTGTTTATCAGAACATCTAAATTCACTCGGAATTCACTGAAGAAATAAAGTGGAAACGAAACCGTGATAGTGAAACACAGAATACCTTATGTCAGATTCACAGTGAATTTGATTGATATTCACTCGGAAGTGAATTATAGAACCTGCCTCATTATGTGTTATTATTATACTTCAACAGCGTTGTTGAGCTTTATACCACGATTTGTTTTTTGGAAAAATGGAAAAAACAACAAAGTTTATAGCACTTATTTCGGAGATCACCAATGCTCCCCATCAGAATTAATTTCTAGACTTCAGCAGGGATCGAACCCGAATCGTCGACGTGCAAAGTCAGCAACGATAACCGCTGAGCTAAGCACAGCCCGTAAACTCTAGTTGCTTATCACATACATATGTAAGTATGTATCACCTTATACAATCTACAGCTTC